GAAGGGGTGGCAAATTTGCCACCCCAACAATTTCATTTCAACTTTCGGCGACGACTTCTTATCGTCGTCGCCGAAACATATTCTTCGGCGACGACATTCCTTTGTCGTCGCCGAAAGGATCTGAAGGGGCGGCAAAATTACCGCCCCATTAATTTCAACTTGACCTTTTTGGCGACGAAATATATATTTCGTCTTCGAATGGGATCTTCGGCGACGAAATCTACATTTCGTCGCCAAATATCCCAAGTTTCGACGACGAAATATATATGTCGTCGTCGAAGGTGCACCTTCGGCGACGAATCTAATTTTTGTCGTCGAAGAGCCCTTTCGACGACGAAATGTTGTTTGGTCGTCAAAAATTCCGTCTCCAAAAGTGAAAATTCTTGTAGTGATTTTTCTATCTTTAGTTCATTGTTTTTATGGTTTTTAGATTTAGTGATAGAATACTAACATTTTTAATATTCTTTTAATGTTTTAGAGTCGCATTATGTACGTAGCAATCGTTGATCATTCTGTATCTTGCAAGCATTTGTCAGTTTCATCTCAAACATAAGAAGTAAATATATTTTACGAAAATATAGAATAATATGCCTTGGTTTTGTTCTTCACTATTGTTATTTTTAAGTTTGGACTATTTTGTAGTTAATCTTAATATCGTTATTTTTTTATTTTAAATGTTTTTACATACTCATTAAAAATTGTTAGCTAAATTTTGAATAGTTTATCTGGTTTATTTAAATACAACATGATTAAGGTTTGATTTTAAAATTATCCTATCATTTTATTTTAACATTAAATAAATGTTTTGTATGTATTATTTTAGTTGTTGGACACATTCAATAGCTCTAATTTGAATTCAAAACAAGAACAAATATAATACAATTAAAGAAAATTGAAGTGTTTTTGTCACCAAAAAAAAAGAGCCAAGAATTAAAATTCCTTTCATTTGTTAGAAAAAATTACAAACCTTCCATTAAAACGTATCTACTTGTTACTAAAGATTATTTGAAACCTTCAATTCCCATTCTCTCCCTTCCCTCCTCGTCCCCTTCTCTGTGGCTCCATTTATTCTCAAAATCTCCCACTTCAGAGATCTTCTAAAGACTCAACTTCAGACTCGGGACCAAATTTTATCCAAATTTCCTTTGTTTTCTCTATGATTCCTGGGATGAAGATTAAGGAATAATCAAAGCGAGTAACATCAAAGCAACACTAAGAAATATAGAGTAAAAGAAGAAGAGAAACCCCAAAAATTATAGTGGTTCGGATACCAATGTGATAACCTACCTCCACTTCACAACAGCATCCATCAACACTTAATTCACTCGATCTGAGAATCTAAATACAAGCAATATTATGAGAAGATTGGTATCCTTCACAGAATGCTCACCACCAACCTCTCAAACCTAATTTTCAAACCTAATTTTCAAAGAGAACAAAAAGAAGCTTCTGGACTTCCTCTCTTGCGCCTTAAATTTGCTCTCCTCAACAATAATATTCCCCACTAAAAATAACCAATTCACAGTAAAAAAACAAAAGACTAATGTGCAATTTTAGAAATGGCAGGTCTTCCAGGTCCAAATTGACTTTTTGGAAACAAATTAAGAGATTTCGAGAAGAAATTGAGCGACGGAGAAGTGGGAGGAGAAAGGAGAGAGAATGCTAGGTAAAATAATAAAAGAATAATAAATATTCTCTAATCATCTAAAAATTACCAATTCATTAGTATCACTAACACAAGTTTAACTCGACTAAATAGAAACCTAACCTCAAATTCAAAGATAAAAAATGTATTTTACCTAATGTATTGTCTTTTATATTAAGAGTCTTTTAAAATCTTTTTGAAAAAATCTTTTATCATAGTATGATTATGAAACAAATCCCAATTATCAAGTCCGTTACTTGTTATCTAAGGTTCATGAAATCTTCCTCCCAGGTCCAATAACTCTTGTTTTCCAAAGATTTACGCTTGGTATCCATGTACCAAAGTCCAAGTTGGCTATAAAACCAACGTGCGGCAAAACATAAAGAGTATTAAAATGTGTAAGAAACATAAAGAGTGTTAAAATGTGTAAGAGTAAAGAATTAAGGGGCAATTAGAGGAAGAACTATATTACATAGTGTAACTTAAAAAATGGTCAAAAGTGCTAAAATTATTCTACCATTATCCCTGAAATTTTGTGACAAAAATACCCTTGAAACAAACACCTTAATCGAAATAAAATAGTGAATCAAAATTTTAAAATTCAAAATTTCAAAATAAAATTTAGATTTAGAAATTTCTGGTTTGAACTACATTGACTCTTATTAACCACTAGAACATCTCATGATGATTTGTTGTGCATGTCTTATTATTATTATTTTTTGGAGAATTTATTTTCATGAAGAGAGGGGATGAAGAATTAGGAAGAGAGATGAGAGAGAAGAAAAAATAAGAGAGAGAGGACTGTACGCCTTCAACGGATTTATTTTACTGGAGGGAGGGATGAATAATCCGGGAGGGAGAGGAGGGCATGCCTTCAAAATCTAGTGACTAACAACAAAAAATCTAAAATCCAGGAAAAATAAAAAATAAAATATAGTAAAAACAAAAAAAAACATCCATATATGGAGAACGAGAAATCTAATAGCGAAAAAAAAAAGTCAGGGGGAGAGGAAGATGAATTGTAGAGGAGAGATAAAAATTTGAAGATAAGAAGAGAGAGAGGCTCAAATGGAAAAGAGAATGAAAAAGAGAGAAAGATAGATGAGAGAGTAAACAGAGGGAGAGGATAGACGAGAGGAAAAGGGGAGAGAAAGGAGAGAAATTCAAAAAGGTAAGGAGGGCAAATATGTAATTTCACATAAAAAAAATGATGTAAGCAAATAATTAGAAAACATAAAATTTGAGAGCGGAGACATGTATCCAAGTAGGCCTCCAAAAATAGTACTCACCCAAAAACCCTCGCTCAATCTCACAACATATATATATATATTTGAAAAAGAATATATCACTTTCTGTGTTCATGTAGGGAAATTGGATGGAATAGGCATTCTCTCATGTCTTTTATATTTTTTAATCATCCTTCTCCCGCATGTGTTTTTAAGTGTTTGCTGACATCACCTAATTGCCAACCATCTACTTATATAATGCATTCTCTCTTTGTCCTCTCTCTCATCTTCCCCCTCCTCCCATTTTTTCTTTACACCATCTTTTTTTTTTCTCTCTTGAATGTTACAAAACACCTTTCATCGTTTTTGTTTTGGTTATACATCATCTTCTACTTTATTCTCTTTTTTTTTTCTTGAGTTTTACGAAAAAAACACCCAAAAAAATAGCTTCGGAAGCAATTTCCAAATCTAGCTCTTGCTCTCTCTCGCTCTGGCCATTGTGTTTTTTTCTCACATAATGATAGGGGTAGATACAAATTGAAATAAATTTTAAATTTGAAATTCAATTATAATTAAAACTACGAGCGATTAAATGAGATTTAAGGAGATTGAAGATCAATTTAAGGAAACAAATTTAGATTACTTCTAAATTTGAATACTAAATGACTAAAATTAACGAGATTGAAGACAATTCTGTTCTTTGAATTCCAATTTTCAAAATTTGAATTAAAAGAATATTTAATCTCTAATTATTTAATAATTAATTTTAAATTTGAATTTGACCAAACTGTTTTGAAATTTATTTATTTAGTTCTAATCGATTTAATCTGATTATGATTCATTTAAATTAATTAAATTTTAATTTATTTATTAGTTTTTTTTAGAGTAAAGAAGAAGGGAACGAGAAGCCCAAGAAAATTTTAAAGAGAATGAGAATAAAAAACCCGTAGCGGAAGAGAGAAAGAATGAGTTAATGGAAAATGACAGAAGAAAAAAAAAATTAATGGAAAAAGAGAGAAGAAAGAAAATACTGGAAAGAGAGAGGGAAATAGAGGGAGGAAAAAATATTCTGAAAAAATAGCACAAATTTTTCAAATAATATATATTAAAAAAGAAATTACAAATTTAATGTAAAATATAAAATTAAATTAAATAATAAAAATCTAAAATAGGGTGAATTTCAAAACTATTGACAAAAGTAGGGTAGTAGAGTCAAAGTCTTCTACAATGTACACGTTTTACACGTGGAATGTGACGTGGACTAAATGTACTAAACTCGTGTACATCGTACACGATTTTTGGTAAATCGTGTACATTGACACGATTTAAGGTAAATCGTGTACAACGTACACGAGTTCAACCAAATTTTTTTTTGTGTAAAATTTATTAACCATAATAATTTGCCAGCTGAATTTGGAAAGTATTTTTTTTTTGTAAAATATATTAACCATAATAATTTGCCAGCTGAATTCGGAAAGTATACAAACTTAAATTTGTCGATTGAATTTGACACTGAACCCCAACTGCGGTATATGTTCCTACTGCAATGTCTTGCATATCACTGACAAAAAAATTCTACAAAAATAGAAAATAAAAAATTGGCATATAAATTTAAGTTAATATCACAATTAATTAATTAAAGAAATGCAATACTCATCGGTCACAACGTTGACGCCATATTGTTATATATGTTGGATAAGTGTTGGACAAGTGCATTCGAGGAAAAAAACAGCAAATATTATCGAGGAAAAAAAAGAAAAAAGAAAAGGGGGTGGGGACCTGATGCAGTGAAATCGTGTACATTGTACACGATTTTCGGGACCTGATGCAGAGAAATCGTGTACGATGTACACGATTTAGAAAAATCGTGTACGATATACATGATTTTTGATCCGCGTGGCTCCAACTGCAGAGTTATTAATTGGAGCCACATCACACAAGACTCGCATCCATTGGATAGGATGTCGCTACCCTACTTTTGGAAATATATTCAAACCTACCTTATTTTTGTTTTTATTTTATTTTTTTACATTATTAAAAAACAAAGCCCGAAAAAAATAGGGAGGGACATACGGAGAGAGTCTGAGAGAAATCTAAAAAGATGAGCGGAGGATAGTAAAAGTAAATTGGCAACGGGTGATGTCAGGGTTTTGAAAAGGGTGATTAAACATGATAAAAGGCGTGGAAGAACGGCTTTTCCGTCCAATTTCCCATATGTTTCACCCCCCCTCCCGTCTCTCTCCCCCCGCCGCCGTCTCCGGCCAGATTGTACCGATTGCCGCCAGGCCGTCTGCTCTCAGCCGCCGCCGTGATTATTTCGTCTCAGCCTTCAAAGGTTTTTCTCTCTCTCCTCTCAAATTCCCGATTCTCTCCCTTTGGCGCCTTTCTTTCATTTTCGATGTGTTGTAACATCATTTCGTCTCAGGCTCCACTTAGCAATTTCTTTCAAATGTCATTTAGCAACTGCTATCCTGTGTTATGCTTATTGGTTTGCAAATCTAGTAATTACCTGAGACCAAAAAATGGAGGTTAATTCAAAACATCTAGCGATGAAGACGGTTCTTTCTCGAGGTAATGCAAGTGTGAAGGATGAATCGTTTAGAATACGAACAACCGCTAGGTATTTGTACCATTTTGAAAGCTTCTCTGATATGAAGGTCTGCCATAGCCAAAGCTTGCAAGAATTTTGTATACTTCGTACAGCTCAGGGTGTTTTTTGTTTTTTTTTTAGATTTTGTAAACATGTTGAGATGGAAGGGTAATTAGATCAGAAGTATGTGGAAACGGGAAATGAAAATTTTCACTACTAATTTAGAAACTGGAGTTTGTTCTGTATATCTCGAATACTATCTTAGCTGTTGCTGGATTTCTTCTTCTTTTAGAGTTTCTTTCTGCAGTCTCTTGTAAGAAACACTTTTTGAGCGCAAGTTTTCTTTATCTGCCTCACAAGATCTCTTTCTTCCATTCTTTTATACAAGTTTTTGAAGGGAAATTAGCTCCTTAAACTGTATGATTTGAATAGTAAAACATATTGTTTCGATTCAGTTCAGTTTGATATTTCATATCATTTGGGAGATAGTTCAAGCTCATGCCCAAATTGCCTCTGTATGTATTGGTATTGTATATGAAGCGAAAGATTCTGATAATGGCAATACCAATCAGATCGAATTATAAAATATTATTTACATAAGCATAGTCTCAAACAATGTTCTACAATTGCAGTGTTAATTTCGTAATCTTTGCTGTGCGCATGGGTTAATGGCAATACCAATCAGAAATCCAAATTTCTAATGGAAGCAAACAACTTCGGTGGTTTTTTGCAGAAATTCCTCCTGTGAATGGAACGAAAACTTTACGGATGATATCCCATGATTTTTTCACAAAATGGGGGTTCTTCAGATTTGACCGGAATGAACCAAACCCGCTCTTAGTCAATGCCACCTCATAAATCAGTTAGTTTTTAAATGTGGGTTAACAGCAAGGACCAAAATCAACTGATTGAACCATTTCAAAGTACAACTGAGAGTACAAGGACCAACAGAGTATTTTAACCCTATTCTTATTATTGAGTTTTAAACATGAATCAAACTTGGCAAGTATTCATTTGTATAATCTTGACTTGATAGTTCTGAACTAATTTGTGTGTGTTTTATAGTTTAAGGGTTTTTCTTTTTTCTTTTGCTCTTTTTTTTTTTGTTCCCCTTGTTTGGATTTGAACCTGTCAACTCTTGTAGATGGCTTTATATTCCTTGGACTCTGCCAGCCAGTTTGGCTATAAGAAAAAACCAGTCATGTTTTCTTCCTAGTTCATGCTACTTTGCTCTAAATAAAGGTGGAGCAACTATAAGATCTCTATGGTAGACTAGACTGTTTATTTTGCTTTAACGAATGGAGTTCGTTTGTAATGGTAACGATTAGGTCCACTTAACAAAGTTTTTATCTTTGAAGGGGTAAAACTTGGTTTGAACTTTGAAGGAGCACAACATAGAATAAGGTGACATCCTACTATATGATTGCTTCTATTTCTTCCTTCTATTCTAATTTTTTCCTTTTATTACTCGCAGAGTCTTGATAAGAGTTGCTTGGGTCTGTTGAGAAAAGCCTATTGTAGCTCCCTTAACTTGCTCCTTCACAGGGAGGTGAGTGAAAATATCTTACTACCTAGACCTTAACCATACATAATCTCATAGTACGTATTATAGCTATTTTCAATTTTGCGCGGTTTGCAATCATTTACCAAGCAATAAATAACCGTGAAATTCAAAGAAAGTATTTACTTTGTCGTTCTATTGTAAAAAGATGATGACCTTTGATAATGGGGAGTTGAAGCTTTGCTCCCCTATATCCAAAGGTACCTGCCTCAAGGCCTGAACCCAGTAGATATCAAGGATTTTTTGTATTAAGCTCACTGAAGGATTTTTTGTATTAAACTCACTGAAAGGCCTGAACTTGAGACATCTAAGTCAATATGACCAAGATACCCAAGATGTTTTTTTGCATACTTATGTCCTTGCCAATTGTACGGTATACTGTGATTGACAATGAAATCCTGGCAAAGAAATAATATGGAGTTCTATGCATCCTTTCCCATACTTATTAAATTTGTCCCTTTTTTCGTTAAGAATTGGGAAAAAAAAACTTGGTCAAACTCTATTCTAAACTATGGGTGCTTTGTATAGAGGGCTATGAAGAAAAGTCTAGTAGTTATAAAAGACATTAAAATTTTGGAAAGGTAACTTAAATTTTCTAAAAATAAAATAAAATATTAATTTAATATTATTTTCAAATGCTATTGATTTCTACTTGATTTTGAAGGATTTACAAATGTCAATGAGGAATTATTTTTGAAGGTTTTGTTGAGAATGGCATTATGACATTTGGAAAATAATAAAAACTTTCCAAGAAGGCCGGTAATTGAAAATAATTAATTATTGACAACTAATTTGACAATTATTGAAGACCTGTAAAGTTTGAAAAATATTAATTTTTGAAAGTTAGTCGAACCTTTGAAAAAGTTTTTTGATTATTTCGACACTTTTTGAGGTTTCACGAACCTTAAAAAAAAGATTTAATGAATGACTTCTAAAAAGGGTGTGACATTTGGAAATAGTCTTATACTGTGAAGTGTGGGTCAATTTCATAAAACCAAGAATTTTTTGGGTTATTTTTTACAATCATCTAAAACAGAATAACAGTTGGGGCTTTTTTCTTGCAAATCTGATAGCCTGGCTCGTGAGGTCATTTCTTCACTCTCTGATGCTCTCTCCACTCCTGCCTGCAGCAAATCAAGGATTTCTCCCTGTCTTTCGGTATTATATCATTTCTTTATTTTTCATTTAATTTCAATTCCTTGTTCTATCATTTGAATGCTAGTAATATTTGTTCAAATTTTTCATAGCGGAAACTCCAATGGCGTTATATTCAAACCTGAATTATGTTTAATTTGTTCAATTTTCAATGTCGAGAGCTGTGATTATTGGCGAAATTGAATAACTTAGGAAACCTATTCTATATTCGTGTATTTGTCGTAACTCCCTATTATTTTCTTCTCTTCTATAGGAGCGTTCAAACATGATCTTATCATTCATATCCTGAAAATTTAAAAATACCAAGACAGGATTATATGGACTAAAAGTTATGAAGCAAAGAAAATCATTATTAAAATATAGAAGGCAATGTAAATTAGAAGGAAGTAAGCTTGGGACTCGGGAGGCAGTATGTAATTAGAAGTAACAAATTGAATTGATGAAAAACACAAATAAAAAAGGAAAACAGAAGTTGAAATGGATGGATTGGTACTTGGTACTCTGGAAAACCTTAAGATTGGATTGTTACTTTTCGGTTGTTATTGGTAACTTTTTTCTTTTTTGGTTCTCGTCTGAGCGTTTGGCTTCCTTTTCATGATCTTCAGTTTTTGTTAGAATCTTAGTTTATTACTTAATCCTTTTAACGTTTTTTAGTTTGCTCTTGATATAATTTATTTTTCGTTCTGTTCTGTTAGAATCTGTGGGTGGATATATGATGAGGAGAGGCTTTGAGGCTAAGCTTAGAAATAAAAGAAAAGAATGAAAAAGGAAGAAGAGGGAAAAGATGGCTTTAAACTTTTCGTAAAATACTCGCTCGTAATCCATTAGATAAACTACACCTTTGTCAATTTTCCCAATCCAATTATTCCCTCGATATCTCAGATAGATACTATATTCATGGAATATTTGATGAAAGGATAGACAGATGAAACTCAAAATCTTGTGCTAAAGAGCATGTAGGTTCGAGTTTGGGTCGTCTTCCTCTTCTCTTTTGCTCTGCTGCTTCTGTTTCGTGTTCGCCCTTCTGCTGAATTTCTCTTCTTTTCGTTCCTTCTGTCTTCTTCTCAACAGCCATACATACATTGGTCTTTTAGGTTCTTGGTATCATATATTTTTCCGATGATTTTGTGTTGATACGGTAAGTAAATGAAAATGGTAGTCATGCCAAAGAAAACCTTGTGTTTATATTATCTTGAATATTGATATCTTTTTATTTTTTTTCATATAACTGGATGTGCTTGAGAAATCACACTAATTCCTTTTTTCTGTTTTGGAAAGCTAGCTGTGGCTTTCTACTTGGGCCTTTTAAGAAGTTATACTCTTAATACATACAACGTCATTCCCTTCCGAGTTAATATTGGTAGCGACTTATTGGATTTTGTGCTAATTTCAAACATAATTAACCTGTCAGGCTAAACTTTTGGATTTAACAATGATTTAACAAATCTCGGTCAAACTGAAGAGCATAACAAACATTTTCAGGAGAGCATCACCTTATATGACCCACAACTAGCGAAGTGTAGTTGATTTTTAGTTTTATCAATGGTGGGAATGTTTGCACCTCCCTTGGTACTATTGTGATTTTCTCTCTTTCTTCAGGTCTGCTACATGGATCCAGAGGCTGCACGAACCGCTCGAGAATCACTAGACCTTGCATTTCATATGTCTAACATACTCAATACTGGAATCGATCGCCATACCCTCTCCATCCTCATTGCTCTTTGTGACATGGGGGTGAACCCTGAAGCACTAGCTGCGGTTGTCAAGGAACTACGTCGAGAGCCGCCCTCTGGGGAGACCATCATCTCTGATATTCCGCCATCAGTCACCCGAACAAATTAGCAGGTTCGTTCATCTACTGATGGTTTCTGAAGTTCAAATGTTTTTTAAAACCAGTTTTCTGTATACAATTCACTTTGGATTTGAGCATAACAGCATGCGAGGTAAAGATTCAAATTCATGATCTTTTGATCGAGAATATATATTGTAGTTAGGGTTGGCAGATGTGACTCGGTGTTTTGAGTGTTTACTGTTCTGTTCTGTTCAGTATATGCAATTATCACATTGTTTTGCATATTAGCTAATGCTTTTTTCTTATTTCTTATTTTGAATCATTGCTTTTTTATCTCCCTAAAGGAAAAGAAAAATAAGAACATATGTGGTAATTATTTTCTTCTTATTTTATTTTATTCATAAGGGAAAGAATTCTCGTGATAACCCTTTTCGGTTATTGGTTCTCCGAAATTTAAAATGGGGTTCACATGATTTTTTTTAAATATAAGTAATTAAAATATTTTATTATATTTAAAATTTGAAAATGTTTATTATGCTCTTTTATGTAAAAAATGGTAAAATAATATTTTTATGGCTAAAATACTATTTAATCTATGAAAAACAAAGTTGTATTTTTTGGTTTTAGTATTTTTAGATTTGGTAACTGAATTTCAATTTAAAAAGTTGTTTAATGGGCTTTAGCAATATATTTGTAAACGAGTAGTAGTTATCAATTAAATATTTAGTTTAATCTAAAATAATATTTATTAAGTTATCAACATTTTTGTTATGAATTTTGTATAATTTTTATTTTACAATGTTATATAATTTATAGTATATTATACCATCATGGGATGATCTAGTGGTCAATGAGAGCCAATGCAAATAGTAAAAGACTTAGAGAGAATGAGTTCAAAGTATGGTGGCTATCTACCTAGAATTTAATATCCTATGAATTTTGAATTTTCTTATCAACAAGTCAGACACGGTTGACCTATTTATCAAAGTTTTTATCATTTTTAATATAATTATACATCTGAATCTATTGCCTACCAAATATGCCCTAAATTTATTTGTGTTTTTGAAAAACTAATGATAAAGAAATCAAGTTTTGTTTTTTCTTTTCTAAAACTTGCAAATGAGTTATTTGAGAATGTTTATTATAAACGAGAAATCGAAAACAATCTTTTTTCTCAAAAATTGAAAATAAGAGGCAACTTATGAGGCTTTAGGCAAAACTTTGACAAGAACAATCATTATTGTTAATACATTATTTCAATGTTCTTTCTCTTTATTAATTAATTCTTAAATATCTTTGTTAATTGTTTTATTTTTAAACAATCTAATTTGTAAATCAACCCAAGCATTCATATTAAATATGTGTTGATGAGTAGATTCATGACTTCTAGAACTAAGATTAATTTTTAACTTTTTCATCCCCTAATAAAACTTATTAGATTTAGTATCAAATGGCTTACTACAAAAACAATAAACTTTATCAAAATCCAGTAAACTAGTCGAAGTTCTATCATGTTTTTTGTTGTTAGATAAACTTTTAGTATAATGAATATTATAAAAATATCTAAAATTTTCATCTTTCGAAAAAAATTAAATAACTTTCTCTAGTGGACTTTTTCTACCCATAAATCAATTAATTTTGAATCAATATTTTTCCATCTTCCATCATAATTAAAATGCATCATGCATGTTATTCTAAGTAAAACTTTCATATAGATTATAATCAATTTTTCTATTCTTCTTTTCTTCATAAGCTTTTCATATCCATATTCATATTTTCTTGTAGATAATAGACATTGATATTTTAAGTAAATATAAACAAACCTCATACAGGTATTGAACAATCAACCGTATGAAATAATATTTTTTTAAAAAAATAAAAAATGTTGGAAGGAAAGAACTTGAAATTTTGAGGCTGCTAGATTGATTTGAGCAAATAAAGTTTTTTACTCTAGCAATTGATAATCACAGCATGAAAAATTGAGACTTAAAATTGAGACTTGAGAGAGAAAGTTAAAGTTAAAAATATATTTATTATTATTTTTTTAAGAGAAGTTGAAACGTTTTACTTGTGAAAAAATAAATAAAAAGTTGTATAGGAAAGTCTCCCAACATAAACTTAGGAGAATTTTAAACAAGTTATATTAATTATTGAGATTTTTAAGAAAATTTGAAAGGAACTAGAAAGAAAAAAAAAAGAGATAAAAGTTAACAAATTTGAAAGGGTATCCAATTAAAATTTGAGAAAAAATTTGATTTGGTTGATTATGGATGTTTTATTTTCAAGAGAATTATATATGTTATTAGTTTGTATTTTTCAATATTATAAAAAAGATTTCTGAAAAGTATATTATTTTATATTTTAAAATTCATTTATAATTAAAAACTAAAATAAATAGACAATAATATTATAGTATATATACCATATATATTGTATATATTAATTTACCTAGAAAATATGAGGTCCTTCTAGAATTAGGGATCGTCTTACTCGCGTATAAGTTGGTTCAGCGATATCTGTCGTCGATGGGGTAGAGGGTCTGCAGATACTCGTCGAGCTCTTCATTGCCCCAATCTTCTCTATAGGCTCCCTGCTCCGCCAGCACGACAACTGTCAAAATCATTTGACGCTTCTTCCCTGAGCATAAAGCTTATGCGGCCTGAGAAGTAAAATACACCCTTTAAAAACAGTCCATATGAAAATGAAACTGAGGGACAATAAATATCATTCTTCTATTTCCAAGCATTTTGTTCCATTTTCATGTTTCTATTTAAAAAAAAATATATAGATAAAAACATTCATGTTTAATTTATAAAATGCATAATAAATATCAAAAATTAAATATAACATAAAAATTTTAATATTTAAGTTAAAAATTAATTTTCATATAAATCTTTTCCTTTTTCGTATTTAAAATTTTAGAAAATAAGAAACAAGAAATAGTTATGAAACGCAATTTAATGAATGTTATCTAATAGACCATGAGTTACCCAATTGTTCTAAAAGTGAAAATCTATTTCTCTCTCTTTTTTTTTTCTTTTTAAATATTCACTTTTGAATAGTAGATGCAAGGAGGAGGAAACAAGAGAAACAATTCAATTTCATATTTGACATCGAAAACAAGAAATTCAATAAAAAAACAGTGTTAGATAGGCATTTGGTAGATTTGAAAACTAAATCTCAAATTTTAAAAAATTACTCAAAGTATTTAGTAATATATTTGTAAACTAATTGCTAAATATTTAATTCGATCTTAAATATTATTAATTTATTTATTAACACATATGTTATGAATTTTGTAGAATATTATTTTACAATATTATATAATTCATAATATATTATATTTGACATGTTTTAATTAAAAAAATGGAATGAGTTTATAACATGAAATAATACATTTATTAATTTTCTTTTATCTTTTTTAAAATGTAATTACATTTTAATTTAAAATTGGAAAACACTTAGATTTTCTAGAATTTGAACCACAGAATCTAAAAAAAAGTTTTAAAAAACAAATGCACCAAACAGGTCTAAATCCAATTGATTAATCGAATCTGAAAAATAACATATTGCATTTGAATTGCAATACCAAATATAAATAATGTTGATTTTAGATTATGCAACGCATTATAGTTAGGGGCTTTATTATGATAAGTCTGTGTACGTAGCCCGATAGCCTCACTCGTTAAGTTAACCCTTTCTTCACTCTCTACTACTCTCTCCACTCATGCCAGCAGGAAATCAAGGTTTTTCTCGCCCTCTTTTGAATGCTAGTAGTATTTGTTTAGGTTTTTCATACTGACAACTTTGACCGCGTTATATTCAAACTGTTGGGTATTTTTCACATGTGTGAAAGACCAACAATTTTAGGCCCAAATGGGCCACTATGTTTAGGGTTATATATATATATATATAGTCGTAAAACACAAAGAGGGAAAAGTCTTTGCACGCAGATTGAGGAGGGAAAACGGAAAAGAAAAGGGAAAAGAAATTCATTCTGTACGGTAACGTTTTTTGCACGACCGGAGGTCGATCCATGGTCCGATTGAGGTGAAATTTTGACAGCGTGTTCGTACACGAGGGTCTTCAATATGGACGGTGGAGATTTCTTTTGGAGCTGCCTACAGTCAGATACAGTGGGTCGTTGGTGCCACTTTCTAAGTGAGATCTTTCTAATTTTCTTCCCCGGTTTATTCCCTTTGCCGAGATTTATTGTCTCGAGATATTATTATTGTATGTCTCTAGTTGTTTCTAGGGAGAACTTGATGTACCCATTATTGATTATAGTGGAGATTTTCACTTCGGTGCATGATTTTTTACTCTTTACATTGAGGGGGTTTTTCCACGTTAAAATTGCTTGTATCCTGTACTTGTTTGAATTATTAATTTTACTTGCTATTTCCTATTAGGTTCACACAAGAGGGGATAATTGGTCCATAAATTTAAGTGTTTATCCCAACAAAGTGGTATCAGAGCGAGGTTAAAAATTAATTAGGCCTTGTGTTGAACAATGGAAAGTAGTACAAGTAGAATTGTGACTTTGAATGACGCAAATTATCAAGTTTGGAAAAGGAAGATGGAAGATGTTTTATATGTGAAAGATTTTTATCTTCCTATTTTTTCACTTGAGAAGCCTGAAGATAAAACTGATTTAGAATGAGAAATATGTTATAGAAAAGTTTGTGGCTTTATTAGACATTGGGTAGAAGAAAATATTCTAAATCATATTGGAGAAGAAACACATGCATGGACTATGTGGAACAAGCTTGAGTCGTTATATGCCTCGAAAACTGGCAATAATAAATTGTTTCTGATAAAGCAAATGATGGCTTTGAAATATCAAGATGGAACACCTATGTTAGATCACTTGAATACATTCCAAGGTATCATTAATAAGCTTGCTGGAATGAAAATCAAGTTTGAAGATGAGATACAAGGGTTATGGCTTCTTGGTACATTGTCGGACTGATGGGAGACTTTCAGAACTTCGTTATCGAACTCATCTCCAAATAGAGTAATAAGTATGGACATGGTGAAACGCAATGTTTTAAATGAAGAGATGAGAAGAAAATCACAGGGCGCTTCATTACAGTCAGAGGTTCTTGTTACTGAAAGAAGGGGGAGAAGTAAGAGTAAAGGTCCAAGGGGTAGAGATAGAAGCAAAAGTAAGAGCAACCGGTTATCCAATGTTGAGTGTTATCATTGTGGCATGAAAGGGCATATAAAGAAGTATTGTCGACAACTGAAGAGAGAAAATAAAGACGATAAAGGTAAGGAAAGGAAAAATGATGA